AATTAAGGACTCAAGAGCTCGGTGGCTTCAAATTAGGCTAACTGTGATCGCACAAATTTTCCTGATTATTGATGACAACAGTTGTTTTTGTGTCCATCAAACCAATTCCTAATCCCATAAGCCAGTAGGGCACTGTGTTTCTAGCGTCATTGCTGAATTATAGTAGTTCATTTTTAGAAATCTATTGATAGTACAGGTTGGTTTCGTTTTTGTTTGTTTGTCATTTTAAAATTGGTCAAATGACGAGTAAAAACGCCGTTTACGCAATTAAAGATAGTGGTCAGTTAGGTGTTCTATGAATGCCGGCTCTTCCGGGGAAAATATGAACAAATGCTTTCATAACTGCAAATATTTATAATAACGTGAGTGGACTGCGGAAAATTAAACTTAGGGACCAATTCCGAGAGCTCAGCAAGTCTATGATAATAGATGAGACCAGATAATAACAAAATACATCAAACAGTAACGAAGTAAATTTGGGTAAGGAGTATCGAGGCAAACATTGTCTTCAATAACACACATCCATCTAATTGGCAATCGGAATTCCCAGCTAATAATCAGTTGAATTGAAAATGGAAAGCTCCACTGCAACTCAAGCGGTTGATGCACTTGTAGAAATTGTAAATGCCATGCTAATATTCCTTTACATCTTAAAGTTTTTAATTTTCTTTGGGTGCATGTCTCGATTTTTTAAGCAAACTCACTCACAAACAAATTTTGGTTTCAAGCACCTTCTGAATATGAATATTCTAAATACGAAGTAGTTTGTATTTAACGAAATCACTTGTTAATAAAATTTTTTGCTGAGTTATTTTAATTCAAAATTATATCGATTATCAAAAATTTAAACGTAACACATTAAGAAAGGAAGTTTCCAATACAAGCGAACATGCGAGTCCCAATGAGTAACTGAGAAGAAAACGACTAAATCGCTGGAATAATACGTTTATTCGCCTGAGGTTTCGACATCCGTCGCGGATTTACCATCAGAGGCATTAGCAGACCCGTTTCTGCTACTGTTTTCTGCTAAGGTCTCTGATGATGAATCCGCGATGGATGTCGAAACATCAGGCGAATAAACATATTGTCCCAGCGATCGAGTCGTCTTCTTCTCAAACGAAGTTTCCTTGTCTGCAATAAAGGTCAATCGTAACAAATCGGTAGATCATAAACGATTCTTTTTAATTTTCTCCCATATGGATCGCACAAGTTACAGAACTGTTAATCAAAACCATCGCCATAAATAAATTCTGTTACGAAGTGAGTATTAACTAAAACTTGAATTTTAAAATGTGTTGAAGGTGTGGTGAGGACGTAGGCCAAGCAGCTTGTGGATACAGAAGACACCGCAAACATGCGTTTAGGCCCGCATAGTTAAAATCTGAGGACTCTGCCCCTATAAACTGCTCTAGTCAGTGCACTGTCTTCCCTTGTAAGCGAAAAATCGCTTTGATGCATACACATCTCAAATTACTTATTTAACAGTACATTAGATGAGAGGGTAAAGTAAAATGTTCCATCGGACTTACTCTTCTTGTTGAGCGGCTTCAGATTGTGAAAT